GCGATCAGCACACAGCTGAAGCAATCGTTCCCCATTGTCCGTACGTACCGAGTCCAGTCCATGTCGACCTCCCAATTGAGTCTCAGATGCACTAAGCCTGCCCACTTGCGCATTCATATCTCCGGCAACCACCACAATGTCTGAGCTTTTAGCTCGCCGCAGCAGGGCCTGAAAGCGCCTTACTGGACTGGATCCCATTAAACAGTCACCTTGGCGCTGTGCAGTTGTCTGGCTCAATTAATATTAACGCAGGTCGATTTGGCATCCGGTGTTTGTCGTGTCAGCATACGCCCCGACAGATAGCACTTCTGGGACTGAGAAGGACGAGTTTTATCAATATCTATCACGACTAGTCTGGTCGGCAAGAAGGACGGATATAGTAATCCTGGCGGGTAATATGAATGTCCAAGTTGGGAGACTAAGTCCGGAGGAAGTACAGTTAGGTGGGCGATTTGGAGTCAATGCTGACCTTACAGATAATGGGAAGTGGCTTCTTCAGTTGTGTGCAGATCATCGTCTGTTCCTGGCCAGTACGAACTTCCAACACAAACACTCACACATAGTTACTTGAAGGCCACCTACCACAAGACAGTCGTGAACTTATTTGAAACATATGGCTATCAGTTGCCGGTGGAGATCCTCAATTAAGGGTTGTCGTTCCTTCTGTGGTACACGGCATCCTGTGGACTTGCTCAGCAATTGGCTTTCCGCCAGCACTACGCGTGTCGAAAGAGAGTGGTTCCGTTCATCAGCTTCGACAAGTTTCAGTAGCTAAAGAGTATTCAGCTAACCAGATGAGAAAGCTACTGGAAATGTACAGTCATATGGACGACTAATATTGCATGGAAGCGAGTTAAAGAAGTAACGCTCTCATCCTTGAAAACTGTCTCCAGCCTATCTGACTCGACTCATTAAACAGTGGAATCTTCGAGATCAGATCTTATTGCTACAAGAAAGGCCATACTAGCAACTAGCGACTATGGTGGCGCACACAGATCCCTCGAACACCGGGTAATCAGGGGCTTAAAGAATGACAGAGAACCGGGTGGAAGTTCGAAGGCCCAGGAGATGGAGAAAGCTTTCGCTGCAGGAGACAGCTGCGCCCTGTTTCAACTGATTTGATCAACGGGTCAAAAGAAGGCAGATGTCAGTTAAACAATATGCGAAAAAGACGGGACAGCAGTTCACTCCCTCAGTCGCCATCTTCAACGATGGGCTGAGAATTTCCAAGAACAGTTCGCCTGGTATCCTCCAACAACCGCTAGAAGAACCAAGCGGATCAGAATGGAGTGGTGGCACCAACCCACCATCAGCAAGTGAAATCCAGCGTGAGATTTTAATCTTGAAGGGCATCAAGGCACCTGGCCCGGATGGTCTACACCGACGTGACGTGAGCTTGCCTGTCAAGGGAAGTCTACACTGCTGTGGTGCGATCCAGACTGCTTTATGGATCAGAGACGTGGCCTCTACGCGCAGGCGACATTCGGAAGATGCCATTGTTTGATTGTCGGTGTCTCTGCAGCATTGGTCGGGTCTGATGGGAATATCAGATCAGTAATGCTGAGGCACGCCATTTGGTGTTAGGAATAAGGAAATTTCCCGCGACAGATGAATTACTCACGCTTTATATGTTGCGCTGGTTGGGACATATACTCCGGGTGCCAGAAGACCGTCCGCCTCATAGAGCTCTTTTCTCCCAGCCCTGTGCTGGGTGGAAACGACCGAGAGGTGGACAGTGTATGACCTAGCAATGAAGTACGAAAACACTAAACAGTAAACTTAGTCGGGTGGGCAACTGCAGTCTCCCTGGATGGGGACCCCGGGAATCAAATCACCAGTGGTTAATGACATTGACGGAAATGGCCCAATCGCACAGTCAGTGGCGCTTGCGCATGAAATCTATCAACTTTAATGCGTGGCTATCCAATTTCCGAACAAATTGAACATGCTTTCACCTCCAAGGCTTGGTTATTGTTCCACTTTCCCGTTTCCTGTGGTCAAAACTGTAGCAACTGTAACCAAAGTGACTAGGGCACAGGATTTATGGGTGATAAATTGATTGAGACTGGGCGTCGAGGCTTGAAGATTCATTTCGAGATGCCTAAGGAAGTCGGCGATGGATGATGCGCAGATATGGCTTGCAAAACCGTTGATGGACTAACAGAGTCATTAGACCTTAGTGCTGGGCCTACAAAGAGAGAGTTATTGATGGGGTGGGGGATGGGAAGGAAAAATTATGTAAAACAGTAAGATGAGAGGCACCAGCAGTAGTATGTTTTCGCTTACCCATCCTGCTATATGCAATGAGCAAGGTGACTTGATTCAAGGCACAATGCGACGGCAGATATGGTATAAGTTTGTTTGTATACGTGCGACTGATGGTTGTGCGTGGGCTGGGATACTGTTAAGGTGCCCAACCCCAGACAAGATGGTTAGGGTCCTTAACTAAAGCCTTTGGCTCAAAAGCCTGACTACAAGGATGGAAATGCAAGTACACTACCATTTTTACGGAACACGTCGCTCCAGATCCCAACGTGGAGCACCAGGAGACTGTGTCCGTCAGATCTCTAACCATTGACCAACCTGGTATGAGACTCTGCAAATGTCGCGCGGACACCTCGCAGTATAGTTCAATGGGTCGTCGAGGTACAAAAACGGTCACCATAATGTGTGTTCGTGAAGGCCTGAGGAGTCTCCAATGCGTCGTATACCTTAGTCAACTCGGGCTATACGAAGGTGATGTGGGCAAACGTAAGTGTAGATCTTGGAATGTGAGGGAATCAATCTCTGATTTGGACAACGGGTTGGTCGAACTTCCACTTTTGAGCTGACACACATGATGCATTACCTGGGGCTAGGAACTCGACATAGTCAATCGTCTTATATTCCCTGAATTATGTCTACCCGATAAACCCCAAGCACGACGAAAGTGGAAATGCCTTCATAGACTGAGCAATATTTTGTAATCTTAACATCCACACGCGAACAGAGGGAATTCACGTTTAAAAGTTCCACGTATGAAGTGACCAAACTCCTCCAGTTAGTAGCTGATAACTCGTACCCGTAACTACGATCGTCCTCAAGCTACTACACTAGCCCGCTTTTTGAAGAACACCGCCCCGGTTTAACGTGGCTTACGTGAACCGGCCAGTCCTAGTGGTGTGGTGCGTGAGGCTGGTGTGCTTTCAAATGTTGTTGTGTATGGGGTGCGTCAGCCGTGTGAGATGGGGCAGTGTGTTAGCTCCATGGCCTGAAACTACATGTGTAGAACCTGGGACCTTGTGGCAGGACCACCCATTTGTGGTAACCATCCTGGCTTGGTCACCAAGTATGCACGCTATGGTACCAACGGGGAGTAGTGATTCTCCAAAGGTAGGGGCAACAATCTATGTGGTTGGAAAACAGAAAGATAGCCCAGTAAGGTTATACATCAACAATACTTACACATAAACCAACCAAAACGGCAAGCTCACTGCACTCCTAGACGCACCGACCAACCCAGGGTGCCGCAAGGACCAATAAACACAGTTCGCATTTGATTTGCGAAAAGATCTGAGTACTTGACAGCCCACATTGAAATAGTTCTCTGATTGGTCGAAAACTGGACAAGAATACAAGTCGCGATAAAAAAACGAATACGACCACAAAAAGCTGTAGTTTGGGGCACGCAGTCGTAGTTCTGTGGGAGGCCTCGCTGTGTACCCAGGTTGACTCGAAAAAGACCCGAGTTCTAGTTGCGAATGGCATCCCCGAATAGGGCAGAAATCACTTCGTCATTGCTCCTTGGTAGTAAGTCCACTGGACGAAGCTCTTGTAGCTGTGGGCTGAGGTTATCGTGGCAGTCAGTATTTTCGTGTTGCATGTTTTCGTACCGCTCGTTCTACTTCCTGGGATCCAGTGCAGATCATATCATGCCCGAATTGGTGCCATCTAAATGTGATGAACATCGAGGGCAGAGAAAAATAGTTGTTTAGCGTTTGTTTCCACCCTTCAGGGTAACCACCGGATTGGAAGCACGATCCTTAGACGCGCACCCGAAATGTATCGGAAATCGTAGTTTGAATAAAGAAAACCTTACCATAAAGTTTTGACATTTGGTGACCTTTAATTAGAAAGATTCATCCTTTTCCAGACAGTTGTAGTTTTGTTAAATTTGCTTAGGCATACTCATGGTCTTTTTTGAGCACGGAATTCATAGTTTTATTGCTGTTACAGCTTGGTACAATGTCCCTCTGAGTAGTAGGAGTGTTCTTGAGAAATTAGTTCAGTTTAACTTAGTTTAGTTTAGTTTAGCTTTCTCTCATGTTGGAGCTGAATGTATTTTGGAAGTGTATGTGGTAAATAATAACGTCTCTATCAGCGCAAACTCAAAATGTAGGACGAGGTTTTCTATTGTTGCGGCAGGTAAAGCCAAGGAATTCGTCGCAGTTTGTAATTTTGGTGATTTCAATATCACAGTACAAGCCACACCAGATGCCCGAGTGCGGTTTCACGGTTATGATGATTCCTTTACAGCTATATGAGAAAACTAGTGGATTGTTGGACAAAACGAGCAGATGGTGCAATTAGGTGGCTAGTAGTGTGGAATTTTGGCGCAAATTGACTGGGTTGGCTTGGTCTCTTGGGCGCATACAACACGCTGGGGGAAGGAACAGCATATGTAGTTCAACATCTGGCAAGCCATCACAGTGAGTATGCCTGTCGTGGTAACGTCACAGCGACGCCATACTTGGGTTCTTGAACATCTCCGTACATGAACACTTTGGGTGAATTAGTTAGGATTTTAAAGTGTTCGGGACTGGTGAAGAGATCACGAAAATACGGCCAGCATGGAGCAAGAGTATCACTGGATCCATCGGGAGCGTGAGTTGTTTCAATGCTGCCGCCCATACAAGGCCATAGTACAGCCATATACGGCTCGGGTCCTGCTGGGGAGAAGTAAGTTATAAGTCGGGCTGAGACAGTCCGAAACGGTAGGCAGCCAGGTGTTCAAATTGCCTACTACCGAAGTGCGTCGACACAACCTGTTTTTGAAAAGCTCACCAACGTTCTGTTGAAGATATCAGGGAATGCGTTCACTGTGACTGAGTGTGACCATACGTGAATATGAAGGATATGCAGTAACTAACCGGTACGCCACTGCGCTTACAGCTAGTTGCATAAACGTTGGTGAAGCTGGGACGAAAAGGCAGAAAGGTGGGAAGACGCTTCAAAAATTTTGTTGAAGCGTAGGCGCATTCCTTGCCTGCTCATATGTTTGAGCGGTTGGCTAGCAGGTTTTGATGTTGCAGGTTTATCATGTATGGGACTTAGAAAGCCGCCACCTGCGTTTTAAGGCTGTTGAGGCTCCCGA